GCCCCCCCCACTTTGTGGGGGTCCCAGGGAGCCAGAGAAGCCCCTCGCAGCACCCGGAGCTGCAACTCTAGTGGGATAAGTAGCTGCGGACAGCGGCCGGCAAAGCCATTCCTGGCTGTTCCTCCAGAGAAATGCCCTGCTGCTCCGAGAGGCCGCTGACCAGTCCCCAGCCTGCTGGCGGTGCAGCGGGCCGCAGCGCGAAGCCCAAGCCGGCGAGACCCCGAAGGCGGGGCGAGCCGGGCCCTCGGCTCACGGACGGGGCGGCCGCGCTCCCAGGACGCTGTGGACACGCTTTACGTCCAAGCGCGGGCGGGAGATGGTTCTGACCCCTCTCCGTGGCGCCCCGCTAGAATGAGGGTCACGTACGGCTGCTAATTTCTTGGGGCTCTTGCGAGGCTGAAGTGGGAGTGTCCGAGCGCACCGTCCTCCACGAGGGGTGGCCCAGGACTTGGGGTGACCCGGACTTGGGGTGCCTGCAGAGTCTGTCTGCTGAGGGCTCAGCTTCGCAAGGTTTAGGGGTGCGCTCATGCAGACCCGTCCGGGGGAGACCCTACAGCACGCAGCGGCCCCCACAGCTGCGCATCCAGACGCCCGTCACCCCCCCGCACCTCCCTCATGCACACCCCGGCCCTGTCCTCAGGCAGCTGTGGGGCGCTCGGCCGCAGAGGGGCCCTGCAGCTGCTGGGGGCCAGAGGGCTCCCGGGGGCAGCGGTCAGCTCACGCACCGCTCCTGGCCTGGGGGGCCGGGCCTCCAGTGGTCCCCGCTTCTCCCCCCCCCCCAAGCCCCCTCCCGGCCTCCCTGCGAGGCTGTGGTCAGCGCAGCAGGCCAGCAGGCCATGTGGCCGGGGGGAGGGTGGCCTTGGGCGCCCAGCGCCTGGCTGGTGACCTCCTTGCCACTGGCAGCTTTGTCCCCCTCCCGGGCACTGCCCCTGGGTATTGCACACACAATTCCGGAATTGTCACTTTTGTTACAAATAGTAACTTTGTCATGTGGCCAGTATGCAAAAGTTAAGTCTCCTTGGATATCACAGAATTTTAATATGTGAATTCAATTTTCTTGCCTCTCTCTCAGGAATTTTTTTGTCCACTCCCTGGTATAATTTTAGACTTTTGCATTCATTCTTTTAACTTTTAGCAAAGAACTAGCCCTGGAAAATATTTAGTCAGAAGGGCGTGTGATTCCTTTTTCCATGATTAAAAAAATTAGGGTGGAAAGGAGCTTAGGACACGTGTTCATCTTTTTTGTCTAAGTCTTAGGTTTCTTTAAAAATAATAACGATAGGAGAAGTCCCCCCGGGCCTCTTTCCCCCGCGGCTCCCGGAGGTGGTTGTGGGAAAGAGCAGTAAAAGTCATTAATGTGAAACTAACTAGGCCGGCGAGAGCCATTACTTTTTATTAGGAAGTCAACTTCAAAACCAATGTTTAGACCAAGCGTAACCGGGCTGGTGGTTGACAGGCAGTGAGATCTCTCCCTCGCACTTGACAGCCGTAGACCCAGCCCACACTCACCAGGGGCCGCGGCGCCGGGCACCGGCCTGAGACTACCGGCCAGGGCCGACCCCGCGGGAGCGCGGTGAGGCAGCGCAATCGCTGCCTGCAGAAAGTGCGGGGAAGGGGGGACGCAGAGCGGGGGCGCCCCGAGTGGGCGGCCTGAGGACGGGGTGGCGCCCAGGGGCGCCCAGGGGCCTCGGGACAGAGGCCTCGAGGTCTGGGGCGGGAAGGGGGCGCCCCGGAGCGGGCCAGGGGGCTGCGGCAGCGCTGCAGACTGCAGCCGGATCGGGGCTCTGGGCGCGGCGTCCCGGAGGGCGCCGAGGGGCCGAGGCAGAGACGCTGTGGCCAGACGCTGTCCTCGGCGTTTCGGCATCGTGGCGAAATGCACAGATCTCAGGCCGGGCGTCGTAACCACGACGGTGGCCGCTGCGGCGCCGTGAGCCCGCCCTCGGTGTCCAGAACTTGCCCTCCCCCGCAGCCACCGTCCGGGACGCCGACCCCGCCGCCTCCCC